TAGAAGGAAATAAATAATAAAGATGAGAGCATCAATAAATGAAATAGAGTCTAAAATAGGATACAAATAACCAATGAATCCAAGAGCTGGTTCTTTGGAAAGATAAACAAGACTGACAAACCTTTAACCAGAATCATCAAGAAAGAAAAATGACCCAAATAAATAAAATCAGAAATGAAAGAGTAGAAATAACAATCGGCACCAAAGAAATACAACAGATTGTATGGAAATATGATAAACAATTAACTATATGCCAACAAACTGGAAAACCTGGACAACAAAGTCCTAGAAACATAACAATCTTCCAAAAAGTAAATCAGGAATAATCAGATAATCTGAATAGACAGATTACACCTAATGCAATTGAAGCAGTAATCAAAATCTCCCAGCAAACAAAAGCCCTGGACAAGACGACTTCACTGGTGAAGTGTACCAAACATTCCAAGAAGAACACACACTTCTCCTTCTCAAACCATTTCATAAAATTCAAGTAGAGCAAAGGCTGCCAAACTTCACTTTACAAGGCCAGCATTATCCTAATTCCAAAGCCAGATAGAGACACTACAAAGAAAGTAAAATAATGTTTTAAATACATTGGATTCCATTTTTCCCCTATATTCTTTTCAAAGCTACCTATTGTTGCTAATTTTCATGTAGGCTGTCTCACAAATGAACACATTTTTATATTTAATCAAAATAAATCTCTTGAGTCATTGAATATTATTAAAGAATTCAAAAACTAACTAATGCAAGTTGACTTACTGCTGTTATAACATTCAGTGAGCAGATGATTTTTATAGTTTAGATACTGATATTTTTAGTTTTCTTTAAGTGAAAGAATTATATGTTCCAAGGATTTCCATTTTACTGTTTCTTTATACATAATACATTGTACATGATTAAAAGAGACTGCATGCCCCCTCAAAAATCCAAATTTATATTTCGCCCAAATTGTTTTTCCATAAAATTAATCATTATACATTACTTCTTAAAGCTGTTCAGATTATCTTCCATTTCTTCAAATTATTGATGTTCGTGTTCCAGCTAATTCCTGAATGAAGTGACAGTCTTCACATAGGAAGAGTAAGTTCATGAATTGTGACTCATTTACATTTTAATTTTAAATAATTAATCATAAAACGTAAAACTTTAATGAATAAGAGCCGTTTCCCCCCCAAAATATGTTACTGCTTCACAAAGTTTTGGATTTCATTGCAGCAAGACAGATGCATCAACCATTTCCATGTGATAATGCTTGAACTAAAGCTAAGCAACCTTAATTAGACTCATAGATAGCCTTCATTAAAAGCCTATATGAAAGCACAACCAGTGAATTTATTGTTTTTTCCTCTAGAAATTAACATTTAACTTACACACTAAAAAGCTTTGTGTCTTGCGCCCTGGCTGGTGTAGCTCACTGGATTGAGCACGGGCCTTTGAACCAGACAATCGCGGTTCGATTCCCAGTCAGGGCACATACCTGGGTTGCAGACCAGTTCCCTGCAGGCCAGTTCCCAGCAGGGGACGCACGGAAGGCAACCATACATTGATGTTTCTCTCCCTCTCTCCTTCCAAAGATAAATAAATAAAATATTTTAAAAAATAAAAAGCTTTGTGTCTTGCTATTATATTATGATATGCAATTTTCTGAAGTAGTACTAAATATAGTTAATGCATAATTTAAAAATGTGTTTAAACTTATAACCCATACAAAAACTATTAATTAGGACTTATTGGGTATAGAAATTATTTGTACAATGAAATAATTGATTGCTATTCACAAATTGCGAATCAATGAGCCACTGTTATGCTTCAGTTTTGCACAAACTTTTTTTGTGTCACTTCTGGAAAGCTGTGGCTCATGATCTGTGATGCCTTAATGGTATTTTGTGATACCATTTTGTGTGTCACTTGGATTCATTTAAACATTTGAGCATTGTAACAGTGGTTCTCAACTATAGTTTCACATTAGGTCATGTCAAACATATTAGCCAGACCCTAAACCCCAGCAATTTGATTAAATTATCCTGAAATCATCTTTTCGAAGTTGTTCAAGTTACTCCAAAGTGAAGCTATCCTTGGGAAGCACTAAGAGGGAAGATTTGGGAATAATGAAAATGCTTTGCTTATAGTACAGTGGAACATATTGCCAAGAGAGAAGATCATCTGAATTTACTATATTTAGCTAGCTCTAGGAATGACATTTATTAAGCCTAGACTGGGCCAACTAACGTTTCAAAACTAGTTATTCAAAACTAATGTTTTGAATTTCTTCCTTGTTGTCTGATTCTAAGATAGTATAGTGTTCTTTCCACATTAATAGTTACTTCTTATTTTGCTTGATAGAGTATATGATGACTCATCAATTTTTAAAATATGCTTCTGAATAATACAATAAAAGCAAGCTAGGGGTAGATACACCCATATTTTAAAAGATTCAGTACCTATAACAACAAAATAGAATCCACGAAATTGCCACAGAAGCCTTTGAAATGTAAAACGACATCAACAACATGCATGCAATCAATACTGATACCATGTGTTCTAATGACAAAAAAGATAAACGATCAAAATTGAGAGCTATTAATCAGTGATATCTTCTTGGAAGCACTTCATTATGACAAATTCAGAAAGAAGTGATGAATTTCAACTCAATGATGAAATTCATGTCAACAAAGGGGCTTTGCGTAAATGCCCCAGTGAATAACATGTGAATAAACTATGGTCCTCACTGTCTAGGCACTGGTGACCTAAATCAGAAGTAGGCCTATACCAGTCAAATACAAAGGAACAGAATACAATGACAGCACAGTAGAGGTTGGGCTTATATAACAAAATTGTGTTCAACTTCATGGGCAAAAGGAATTTGAACTAAGCCTTGCAGTGGTGTAGGCTGGTTGGGAGGATGAATAAATGCCTTCCAACACAACTATTAGTGTAAGTAACAATATTGGCAGCACGACATTTTCTGGAATGTTCAGGGAAATAATGCACATGATGGACAAAGGAAGCATTTCACAGAGGTGAGAACATACAATTGTGTTTGTAGAAATAATAGACCAATTCACCAGACTAGAGACAAGGGCTCAAATAAGAGAGTAAGAAGAAAAGAGGTTTGTGAAGTTTTAAGGTAAAGGAGGGCTCTCAAAGGTTGTTTGAGGACTTTGGCATCCATACATCCCATGTAGCAATATGCCCAAAGGATTCCTAACATAAATGAAATAACATTAGGCCCCTTATTACCTGGTCTCAACTAGTCACTTGGTTTTGTTAACAGTCGGAAATGTGAGGCCGGCCTGGATATAAATTAATCATTAGAAGAAAGACACTCATAGTCCTCAGTATTTTATTTTAAGGAATAGACTTGCAGAAAATCCTTTCGTTCCAGGACTGGAAGCTGTCATTCAGTACTTTCTCAGCTCTTTCCATGGAGAAACCACCAACTTCCTTACTCTCTTTTTTTTTTTTTCTTATTCTTAATTTGTATACCTAATTTGTTATCGAGCTACTCAATGCAATATTTTGGTCAAATATTCCCCTGAAGTGTGTATTTCTGTGTTATTCAATTATTATATTTTTTATTTCAAGATCTTTTTTATCCTTTCTTTATCCTGAAGTCCTAAAAAATACCCTGGAGACAGGAATACTATCACTGTATAAAAGGTAATTAGCACGTCCTCTCCAATTATAACTTTATAATTGAAATCTCATTAAAAGCTTTCTAGGTCTCCTCTCCCTTAGTGACCAGGTGTCCCTAATTTGTTTTTAAACCAATGTGACTAATTCCAGGCAAAGATTAGAAAAAGTCTGATACCTGTTGGAGAATGGCAATAGCAAGGTTAAATAAGTGGGATGGTTTTTTAGGTTGCCTTTAACCTTGTTTTTTTTTTTTTTTCCTTTCTTTCTATTTATTTATTTTTTTAAGGCTTCAACGTCTTTTCTCTTAGAGTCCTGCCTTTTTCTAGTCCCGGTTGAAGATTCCAAGGGAAATGAGAGCACTATTTTGTTTCTCCCTTGTATTGCAGATAGGGGGAGGAGGTGGTTATTAGAAGCTCTGCCTCTCTCGGTTTCCCCCTGTCTCCGCCTGACAGCACCGCTCTCTCGCGGGCTCGCTCGCTGGTTCTCCTAGGTGATCCATTTCTAGGCAACGTGGGGCTAGAGCTGAAGCTGCCAAGCGCGCTCTATCCCGGCTTCCTGCATCCCGCCAGGCGAACCGCTCCAAAAGCATCCTGCAACCCGCGGCGGCTTCCCTCCACCCGCCTGGCCCCTCTGCTCGCGCCCGGCACAACACCCCAGCCAACCGCGCCCGAGCGAACCAGCTTCTCGGGCCCGCCTCGCCAAGCTCCGCTCCCCGCCTCGCACAGAAAAGGGATTTTCTCTGCATTACTATCTGCATTACCTTGAAGTTCACTTTTTCTACCCTTCTTTGAGAGGGCTTTTCCCCCTCCCTGCTGGAACCTGGATGCTCCGCCTGGAATCTCCAAATCTTTCCTTTCCACTTACATTTTATTTTGGCAGTGAAGACAAGTGATTCTCTGCGGGCCGTTAGTTTGGGAGGGGGTTGCTTTTTGGCCGGGGAGGGGGAGGGGAACATCCGGCGTGAGGGCGGCGGGGGCGGGGGGGTCTGTTGGAAGTTGCTGCGGAGCTGGGACCGAAGACCCGCCGCCCCGGCGCAACGATGGGGATGGTCTGAGCTCCAGCCTCTCCCCCTGCCCGAGTGCAGCCGAGGCTGGATACATTTTTAAAAAGCCAAACTGCAAACAACTCTGGCGATGCCAAAATTCCCTTCCAAGTGACACGGCTCTGCGAAGGAGGATTCCTCAGGCTGGGCTTTTTCTCTTATTCGCTCTGCCTTCTTCGGCAACGATTAAAGGCTTTGCTCTGGCACTAGGAATTAGAGGGGGGAAAAGAGAAAGCTGTGCTAAACTCAATCGTGATCTCAAACTCTTTGGATTGCTTTTTTTTTTCCTTTCCTTTTCTTTTTTTTTTTAATCTTGAAAGAAAATCCACACTGAGAGAAAATCAGCATAGGAGGAGATGGAAGTTTTCCCCTTGTTCTTGGTTTTGTCCGTGTGGTGGTCTCGAGCCTGGGACTCGGCGAATGCAGATTCCATCATTCACATCGGTAAGTAAGGGCAGGTGCTGCCGGTGGGTACTTTTTACCCTTTCGGTTCGCAATTGTTTGCCATTTGCGTCTCCCTCTCTGCCCTCCTTGTGGCTCCTTGGCAGTGGCTGCGATTCATCGCCCCTTCCCGATCCCCTTTCCTCACACTTGTTCAGTTTCTCGCAGGATGTGGATGATGCTCGAATCTTGACTTGTGCTGCTGTTTGGCGGGGAATCGTGGAGCGTGGGCTGCATGCATGGGGGTCTTGACTTTACCTCGGGGTGCGTGTGTGCCGGGAAGTGCGGGGGTTCTAAGTGTGTGGGGAAAGGAAGTTTAATGGACTCAAACCTTCCATATTCTTTCCCGGATATACATTTGCTCCATTTTATAAAGATTATCTTTAAGGGGACAGAGATGTCACCTGCGAGGCGAAAAGAACTGGGGTGGGAGACGGGGAAAGCGCCCTTCTGATCGAACAGGTGGTTTTGCAACGTGAGCGGGCTGGCTCGCTGCAGCGCTGTGCGATGGTGACGGTTCGCTGGACGCTGCCTGGTCTGGTTCTCCTCCGCTCGTCCTCTCGGCTCTGCGGTCCTCGCGCCGAGTCGCCGCGACCCGGGCGGGAGGGGCCGGCGGCGCTGGCGGCGGCGTAGCCACCACGGTGTCCGCGCGCCCCGCTGCCTCGCCTGCGTCCCTCGGGCCTGGATCGGCGGCGAGACTGGCCCTTCGCTCTCCGGCGGCGCGGGGAGCAGACGCGCGCCGGGTGCTGTCGTGGGCCGCCTCGCCGACACCTCCCCGGTCTGGTCGCCTGGTCGTGGACTCCCAGTTACAGCGCGAGGTGGAGAGCGGAGACGCCCGCGGCCAGCCTCCAGCAGAAGGACCGCGGAGCAGCTTTGCGATGCTCTAGGTTGGCCCCACCTATTGGCAACCGGACTGGCCGGGACCGGCCGAGGCGGGCGGGGGCGGGCGGGGGCTGCGCGTCATTATCATGCACAGCGCTCGCAGCTCCAGGCTCCGAGACTTCTCACTTGCTAATCCGGGAGAGCTGAGCGGAGACCAGCTCGTGCTGCCTTTCCTGCGTTAATGCGATTTCCTTTTCGGAAATTCGCTTCTGCGGGCCAGCGAGGATCATTTACTAGGCTGAAGACAGGCCCCTCTTGGGGAATTTTTCTGGGCATAGGACTGTTATCTGTCCACTCGGCGTGATGTTCTGCAAATCGAGGAGACAGATGGGTCGCAGCATCTCCCCTTTCCGTCCCTCTGCCCCTTCCCCGCGCGCGCGCACACACACACACACACACACACACACACACACAATATTTCTCCCTCTCCCGCGCCCCGGAAACTTAACCCGCTGCTGGTGGCAATTGTGTCTGCCAAGCGAGGGTCTTCTATCTTGTGCGTGCCCTTAGGGACTCCTCAGCTCAAGGGGGCTCCCTCTCTTGGTCTCAGAGGCTGTCTTTGTAAACATGTCTGCCATTCTCTATCATTTATATCAATAGAACCATATGTCTCTGTGCAAGGGGCGATGAGGTCAGGACTGAGAAAGTCTTGCATTTATGCATTAAGTAAATTAAGTATTAGGTAGCTTGACTGCTACATCACGTTTTGCCTGGGGGCAATCAGTGCCTGCGGGTTCTGAACTTTTCAGGGAGAAATTCTGGTTTTATGGAGGAGTTCAGTCATGTTCCGATAGAGTTCAGAAATGAACTGTGCTCCTCTTAAAGAAATGACTTGCATTTATGTCCAGTGTAAATGACTAGCACAGGAATGTAGATGTATATGATCATTGTACTTTTACATTCATTTTATGATCAGGGTTTTCTGTCTTATGCTCTTTATCACTCAGGAGAGAAGGCTTGTGGACAAGTGCTTATTTTGTTGCTTATTCCGTGGTCTACACAATAAATTCATTATTTGCAAACACCTACAGTTTTTGCTATCCTTTACCAGATGAATACTATTTTGCAATGCAGTCTGGGCAGTCATTTCAAAATAGAACACAACTGTTGTATTTTTCCCTTCTCATTCTGTTGTCTGTCAGTGTGTCATAGCTTACTTATTTATAACCAGACCAAAAAAAAAAAAGAACTGTATACAAATTACAGATGTCTTTAGAAAGCTGGTTGTATGCATGGTGTATATCCTGCTAACAGAAATTGTTACTTCTCGGACAATTAATTTGACTTGACTGCAATTAGTACATTAGACAAGAGGATTAGCTTCTTTTACGTACTACCAAACAGTGCCGTGAATCTAGCAAACTGGTGATTGCTTAAAATGCTCCAATCTTTTATAACATAGTGAAAGATGTTACCTCATAAATTAAAAAAAGAATGACCAAGACTAATTTGTGTGCACTTCAGATGTTAAAATTCTCTCCTGCATTTACCCCTACCCCAGGCAGATGATAATAAATTCAAAACTGAATATCCATATTAAAATGTTAAAGCTCCAGTTACTATTCATTGGATCAGTTTACTTGCTTGCTTGAATAGGAAAAGAGAATTAATTATTTTTAGGAGGTGATTGCCTTCATTTAACATTTAACTTGGAAAATATGCTTATGGTAAATATATTATTTCAGGACTGAAGGAGCGAAAGTGATGAAACAGGAAGGTGAGTGAATATTTCAGCTCTAGAGTTATAAGGAGATATGCAGGAATGGAAGCTTTTCACAGCCTCGTGTGATATGTTCAGGCAGAAAGTAGCTGCAATGTGTAGTTCAGGGAAGCTTGAAAGATAAAAAGATACTGCTGTAATAGGTTCTTTTTTTAGTCATCCTGTATGTATTTATTGAACTTCTCTTGGGGGGTAAAACTTCAGTGGGGGGCATAGAGATTTTAGTGTAAGACATTGCTCTGATCCCAGTGAATTTGTACTTTTTGCTTTTTTAAAAATTTGAATTTATCATGGTGACATCAGTTGATACAATTATATAGGTTGCAGGTGATGGACTGTATAACCCATCATCTGTATATTGTATTATATATTCACTGCCCTAAGTCAAATCTCCTTCTATCGCTATGTGTCACTCCTTTATCATCTGCCTGCCCCAACCCCCTTTTCCTTTGGTAATCACCACACTGTTGTCTGTGTCTGTGAGTTTTTTGTTTGGTTTTGGTTAATACCTTGACCTTTTTTACCCAGCTCCCCAGCCCTCCTCCCCTCTGACAGCTGTCAGTGTGTTCTCTATATGTATGAGTGTCTTTCTAGTTTGCTTATTAGTTTATTTTGTTCATTAGATTCCATATACCACTGAAATCATATGGCACTTGTCTTATTTTACTTAGCATACTATTCTCTAAGTCCATCCATACCATTACAAAAGGTAAGATTTCCTTTTTTATGGCTGAGTAGTATTCTATTATAATAGGTTCTTTAAATATTGATTGAATCCTTTTGGTATTGAAACAAAATATAGATATGAAAACTCTCTCCATTTTTTCTTTCCTTTTGCCTTTTACTATTCATGCAGGTAGTTTAATAAAGTCAATTGCATATTTTAAACTCTAATGTGTTATTAAACACACTATTAGTTTACTATAATAATGAGATATTCTAATGCTTAAACTACACAACTATATTTCAGTCTAAAACAATATTATAATTAGTGTGAGTTTCTCTTAAATTACACTTAAAATATTTGATAATTATATACACTTGTTTAATATTCATGCATATGTACACACAGTAGTTCATCCCCCACCCCCCACCCTAAAGAAGGACCTTTTGACATACAAAAACTATGCAATTTTGAATTATGCTTCTACTTTAAGCCTGTGCATTGATTGAGTAATTTTATCAGACCCACATTACTTGATTGCTTAGAAGTTTCCTAATGATCTGCATGCTGAAGGAAGAACCAAAAAGTCGTGAGTGGAATGGCAATGATACAGTGTTTTATGAGGCTATTCAAAAGTCGCTCTGATTTATGTAACTAGAAAGCTCCAGAGTCTTTGAGATTAGCCACGCTGAGTGCTGTTTTCTTCATACATCAGTCGTCCCACACTCTTTACTCCCTTAACACAACAGGAGTTTTGAGCACTGCTTTAATTAAGCAGGGATTAGGTGGCATTTCCAGTCAACTGCACGGTTTGTGTTTGGCTTCATATCTAATACAGAGGATCTCATGTGTTAGCAGTTTAATGTATGCTCATTTCTTTATCTGGTTCTACTCACAGAACTGATTGAAATGAGCTATCTTTAGTTACATATCTCTACAAGGAAATACTCAAGCTGAATAATTATTTATATATTACAAAAATCACTGGTGTGTTTTTGTTGTTTCAGTCATGGTAAAATACCTTATGCCAATAGGGAATGGTAACCAAGGCTTATTCATGTTTTTCTCATAAGCCATTGATCATAATCCTCCAAGATCATGATCATCAACTCTGACATTTGAGAGGATGAAGACGATTCAGAGTATTTGCATCATGAGAAAGTTCAAATTAAAGTACACAATTGGTGGTTGAAAAAATGTATTACCTCATTAAAGACAAAAAATAGACAGTACATTTGAAGCATCAGTTTTTATTCTGTTGGTGCTGAGGACTATTTTACCACATACAGAATGTAAAAGCACTTTCAGAAGATGTACCGCGTGTCTCTTACAAAAGTGTTTCTTTTTCGACTCTTCAGATGATCAACATTATTCTTTGCACTATATAAGATATCTCAATGATTTCAGCAATCCTTTTATTATTTAGAGTAGTTTTTGTTCCCTAATTTATAGGTAACATATCGTATAAACTTAGGAAGTATTAAGAAGTAGCTTAATTTAAAATAAGGGTACACTTTATCTTTATTCTGTATCATTAATACAGCTATTTCAGTACAATTCAGATGTGCATTAAGTTTGACAGTGTTATTAATTGATGCTATCAACTTGCCATGACTAATAATACACTGAGGACCTTTGCTTTCTATTCCTAATGTATGTCCAGTAAATACCTCCTGTAAATTTTAATTAAAATATGAATAGAAATCAAGATGATTATCTTTTGACTTACCCAACAGT